TATGTTTCCATACAATGGCGAAATTAGTCTCTGCATTTAACCCATCCACCACCAGGTGGTGCAGTGGGCAGCTATTGAAAGCGCCCGGGGGGCATTTTGGGGATGAGGTGTGCTGCCCAGAGACGCCACGTGATGTGCAGTGACTGGGGATCGAACCTGGGACTTTTGGGTCCCAAGCCGGCTGCCCTGCCTCTACACCATCTCGGCCCCCTTCATTACATTATGGAAAATAATGACCTTTATCACAATATGCTCATTTTTTGACAAGGACCTGTATATGAAGTATATGATTCACCACTTGCTCAAGCCGAGATCGGATGCTTCTCCGCTTTGCTGCTCTGTCTGTCTGTGAAACTGCTTCTGAGACTCTCTTGCATTTCTTCCGAACCATAATTATGGACTTTTTGATCAGTTGGTCCTTCAACTCAATTTACAACATTTCTTGAAGAGAAGACAGGCTTTAGGCGAGCCGATTTACCCTGTTGGCACGCACGCAGCTGGATATCTCATCGACTGGAAGACTTGATGATGTGTCTATCTCTGCTGCCATCTGTGGATTTTAAGGATGAATATTTAATTGGATTCACGATAACTGGTTCCTGCTTTTTGGATTCAGCTGGTCCTGGTTTTTATCTACAATCAAGGAAGTCGTCAGCAGCAAATTTGGACCCGATCACGCTGCTTGCCTTTATGATGGCTGGGTTCATGTCTGGAGTACCCAGACTCAAATGCTTTGGGCTGAATGGATCAGATCTCGGGGATTTTTACTCAGACATGTTCCAACAGTGTGGCCATGTTATTTTGGACATTTCAGAACCGAGTGGACCAAACACAGACTGAAGGTTGATGTCATTAAGTTCTGCCTGTCCCCAAAACAACTGTGTGTTTATCTAAATTTTGGTCGCCTTGGTCCTTGAAGGCCACCTTATCTGAATTCACCTGGAGAACATGTGATCTGACGCTCACCACCCCCTCCCTGAGGAATTTCCAACTGATAACCAGATGAACCAGCTGAATAAACTTTGTGTCATCATTTCAGGACTCTGGATTCTCAGAGGTTATTCTTGGCCATTCCTCGACATGTCTCGAGAATGTTTATGGACCTCACCGGAGGACATTGACTGATTACAGTGACCTCGAGAGCTTCTGTAGACGTTGTTGACCGCTCTCGTCTCTTCCTTCTTCCTGCTCTGCAGAATGTCTACGTAAATATGTGCTTGTTTGTGCGAGGTGTTTTTTCAATATTAGAGGTTTTTCTCAGCCAAGAAAAAAGTCTGATAGGAATTTTTTTTGCCTCCAACTCCTCCATGTGTCCAGTTAACCACTGTTTGTGTCTGTCCAAACAGGTCTCACTT